CCCGAGGCCTGATATATACCAAAAATTCATCGATCCGTGCCATGGTGGAAACAAACTTACATATAAAATTTCATCAAAATCGGTTCAGCCGAACTTGAGATACACGCGTACTCACACAGCCAGACAGACAGAGACCTCTCTCAAAATAGTTTACTTACGCTTTCCTACTATAGAGAAGTGCATTCCAACCGAAAACTCGATATGCAAAATTTGTTGTCATCACATAACCTCCCTTATTGTATGCAATGCGGTCGATAATTATATACCGTTCTCTTAGACTGGAAAAACTTATTTACAAAATTAGGGAAATGTAACTTTAATGGTAAATTTAAAACATCACTTGAACTGCCAAAAATTCATTTACAGTTTCTAATAATAGAAGAAATATTTCCTGACGTTTATACGTTTGGAAATTGAAATAATGGCTCTTAAAAAAATGCATTTTCATATGGTGTTATAGCACTAAGACTTGCAGACGAAGGGTTAAAAATTTTGTTCTAGAGAAATAAAGCTTTCAGTAAGATCTATTTGGATACTCATATAAAATTTTGTTTTATACATACATACATACATATGTTGAATGTTGTAGAAGTTTTATGCGAACAGACACAGTAAGGCGAAAAGAAATACAATTTTTGGAAATATGCCAAAAACTAATGTTTTAATAGTCTTGATAGTAAATAAAAAAGGTATGTATATCTATTATATTTTTACCGACCGTATTGTGTATACAATAGGTAGGTTATGTGATGGCAACAAATTTTGCATATCGAGTTTTCGGTGGGAATGCACTTCTCCATAGTAGGGAAGTGTAAGTAAACTATTTCTAGCAACCTGTCGGTCTGTCGGTCTGTGTGTGCACGCGTGCATCTCAAGTTCTGCTGAACCGAATTTGATGAAATTTTATATGTAAGTTAATTTCGATCATGGCACGGATTGATCAAATTTTGGAATATATTAGGCCTCGGGAACTGCACTTTTTGGCGGGCCTGTTTTACATTTTTGACCACTTTAAAGAAACTATTCAACCGATTTGCTTGAAATTTCATATATATGCTTTGCTCGACCGTCCGCGAAACCTCCTAACTTTTGGAAGAAATCAGGCGTCAGCAACTAGACGTTTACTACGGGCCAAATATACATTTTTGCGTATATAAAGAGAAATAATCAACTGATTTCATTTAAATTTAATATTTGAATTCTTCGTATTAAAACAATGAATATATAAATTTTTTGGAAAGATCAGGGTTCGAAAACTGATCTGCGGGCCGATTTTACATTTTTCACCATATCTACGGAACGAATTAATGGAATTTCTTGAAATTTGATATTTGAGTAACTGGCGAGCATTTCAGGGAATTCGGGTGGCAAAAAGCAAAATTCTACTAAGAGCTAAATTTACATTTTTCTAGGTATGTTATAACTATAAGTTACTAATGTTGTAAAAATTGGAAAGAAGTATTTAACAGACATTCAAATAATATTCTGTAACATTTTCACTTAACTAGACAATACACATTGCGGTCGGTTATGTGCTGACCACATCAAATTTTTTTTAATTGTCATGTCATCTTACATACATTGGGAAAAGATCTTACGGTAACAAATTTGAGTAAACAAAATATTGACAAAAATTTAAGACAACTAAAATAATGACAATTAAGCAATTTATAAATGTATTAATTTATTTATTAATAATGAATTTTTAATAAATTTACAGGTTTTATAAGCCCAATTTCCAATATTTAAAATCATTAACAAGATTTTATGTACATATACATTAACAAAATATTTCAATTAATATCTACAATATTAGTAATAGTTATATTTAAATAAAATTTGTGTGATTTTAATAAATTTGATAGCATTTGCATAAGAATTTACATCATCCTTTCTTAATATATTATGTTTTCTTCAATATGTCCAATTGTTGAAAAAATTTTTTGATTACATTAGCAAGAAAGAGGATTTTTTGGGGTGATTTAAAAATAAAATTGTGTGTTAAGTTTAAAAAGGCCGATTCGAAATCTGTTTATAATACTTGAGTCTTTTTTTGAGAGGGAATTGATTTTTTCTCAAAATTTTGTGCTAAACAAATTAAATAATACATTAACGTTCGAGAACAAAAACCCTAACGAATTGTCAAGTGTTTAATAATTAATACAACAATAATTATTACATAATAATGATGATTGCGTAATAAAATAAAGTTACTCAAAAATTACTCAAAAATGTCGTTAAAACTTAATGATATTTTTACAGGTTTCCCCAAAAAAAAAAAGTGATTATTAGTTTCTTTCTGTCCGTCTATCCGCCCGTAAGTCTATCCATGTGTCTGTTTACAAAATTTCTTTACCCTTGCAGAATGTATACGAGTAAATCTTTATTGGAAACTTATTTCTCTAGAAGAAAATTTTTACTTTTCTCCTTCCCTCTAAAAGTTATAACCCTACTCTCTAAACCAAATTCGACTAGAATGCGGTGTTAAATCCTAGTTATGCTTTTTTTACTAGAAATTTTATTTACGCTAGCTAGAACTTCACTTGTTGTAACTAGATTACAAAAAACAAGAGTACGTAATAACTGAAAACCTAGTTAAATTTTTTTAGTCCATTCATAATACCTGAGATTCTAGTTGAAAAGCTGGTAATCCAAGCAATTTAGTTTCACCAGAATTCATCTAGAATTTAGTTCTACTAGAATTCAACTAGAATTCTAGTAGAAATTTTAATATAAATATGTACAAATTGAAAGAAAAACGCTGTTGATTTTTGCTTTTGTTGTATTCTAGTTGCCTTCTCTTTTAATTCTCTCAAAGTTCTCAAAAAGAGAGAATTTGTTGATACAGTTCAAAAAAATATTTCGCGTTTTGTTTTTCTAATAAAATTGATCAGTTGTAATAATATTACATATAATTTGATTCTTGTCGCACTTGTTTGGTAAAAAATTTAAATATTTAATATTTTAGAAGAATATTTTCTAATTAGATATTTTTTGTAGATTGAAGATTCTATTGATGGCCTTGTAAAGAAGCTATTCAATCCATATCCATATATAATTTGCCAAAGAGAAAAAAAAGGAGATGTAGGCGAATATTACGTTATCTTACAAGAACAAGTGATTTAAAATCAAAAAATTAATATTATTACTTAAAATATTATATTATTTAAAAAAATCATAAATATTTAAAAAAACAAAAGCTGACTGGAATAATTAAGTTTTTTTAACTTGTAGTAGCAGATAAATATTTTAATGAGATACTTTGTCTGTGTATTAAATAAAAATTTAAATTTATCAATATTAAAAAGTTTTTTAAAAAAAGTAAAAAATTTTACTAAAATCAATTTCTTTTTATTCAAAATTATTTCGCAGCTATAGTACCCATATTTTAAAGTAAAAGTGCTAGAAATTCCAGCTATGCTAGCTAACCATAGCTAACATTTTCTTTCAAATTCTAGTTTCAAGAGCTGTAAATTCTAGCTGAATGCTGTGCTAGATTCTAGTTAAGTTAAAATATTTCAGCTAGTTGTGATCGATTAAATTTCTAGTACACAATCCTAGTTTTTTCTAGCATAATGAACTAGTTTTTTCAAGTTATTTTGACTAGAATAAACATCTACGACAGTGGTTATTCTAGTAAATAATTCTCCTAGTAATAATACCTAGACTATCTAGTAAAGCTAACTAGGATAGGACTAGAAGCTCTAGTAAAGAAATTTTACTAGAATCTAGTTACTATTTTGTCCAATCTCTTACTGTTTTACTCCAATCTATTGACTCAATCTAGTTATGACTACGTTTTCTAGTCGATTTTGGTTTAGAGAGTAAAAATGCCTTTTTTTACTATACTTATTGTGTTGACCGCAATCACTTTTTAAATTCTGCAAACGCACAAAAGTAGTGAATGGCTTCTTCTACCGTGATACAGTATAGTCAAACATAAATGGGCGATGAAATTAAAAGAAATTTTCGCAGCTTTTAGACACTAATAAATAGTTTATGTCGTTAGATATTGTTTTTTTCAACCTGTTCCCCCTTCCAAGTTATCGGCTCTTAAAACTTGTAAAATTTGAATTTTCAGTAATTTATATTTCCCAAACAGCAAACTTTTTTAAATTTTTATAGAACTAACGAAAAAAGGCATGTGATCAAAAAATTTTAATTTTAATTGTATGCAATAATTTGATGTACATATTGTCGTGTATCAATGAAAGTAAGTAATTTGAATAATCCAGTACCTACGATGTTTATATTAAGGTTAGGTTGTATACTTATATGCAAGTATGTATTTATTGGTTTCAGCTTAATCAACACTACTTTCAGTTTATTTATTTCTTAGTCAACAAAAAATAATAAAATTAAATAACAAATTCATATCAAAAGTAACGAAACTGTTTGGAAAATAACGTAATGAAAAAGAATTTACGCACAAATAACAAAATAGTTGCTCAGAGGGTTACTTTAAAATAGAGTGCGTAAAATCAAACGTTTTGCACTGATCAAAATTTGTTACATTAATGTAGGTCCACCCTACGTTGTACTGTCCTTAAAACGTTGAATAAAAATTCAATTAAAAGAAAAAAAAGGGTTGCCCTAAAATTGAATCCCGGGGAACGTCCACGGTTACCTCTTGTAGATTTCATCAATTTTCATTAACAGTTTTTTTCAAAAAGATAGTAAGACGAAAATTCAAAATAAAGCTGGGTGAAACCAATGGTCTGTAACGTGACATTTTCCCTTTCAACAATTGAAAAATTTGTTTTATTAATATACGAATGTATATCAAAGATTACATATACATATTTCCTATGACCGTTTAGTGTTATTTTATAATACTAATACTAATACTCGTAGTATTAAAAAATAATCACATTTTTTGAAAACAGCATTTTAATTTAAAATGAAAAGTCTGATTTCAATTCTCGTTTTTTATTAGTTTTAAATAGTAAATAATAAATGTAAGTAATAAATATTTAAATTAAAAAATTTTGTCTTTTTAGTTAATCGCTGGTACCATGATAAATATGTTTTACACAATTCGTATGGGTTGTCGTCTGATCCTCATTTTTCTTGGGATAATTTCAATTAAAGTAACTCATGGTGGAATTTTTGACAATAGAGTTGATACGCCAAATTTTCAAAATAATTTAAAAGATGAAATTGATTATGATCAATGCAATTTACCTATAAATTTAAAGGATGAAATTGCAGGATATCAAAATGTTGTTAATGAAATTATTCACGAAATAGTGAACGGAAAATTTTCGGGTGATACCTATAAAAGGCAAGTTTTAATATATTTCCAAAATAATTGTTTACCAAAAAAAAATGTTTCCATAACGTTGTAAAGTGTTTACATCTTCAGTTTACGGAATATGACGGATATTTGTGGATCAAGATTAGCTGGTTCAGAAAATTTGGAGACGGCAATCGATTATATGATTAAAGAATTTGAAAATAATAATTTGGAAAATGTTCATACAGAAAATGCTCCAGTGACACATTGGGTTCGGTGAGTAGTTAAAATAAAAATCTTATAGTAGAAGCATATTACAATAGCACTTTGGAAGATTAAATTTGTGTTCTCAAAAATTTGGAGTAGAATTAAAGTATAATTTCCTAGCAAAATTTTATCAAAATCATGACATCAACACAAGTTTGCATTCAGTTCTTACTTAATGCGCAAATAGAGAATCATTCTTTCCGAATTCCTTTAGTTTTTCTTCTGTCCCTGTATTTTACACTTTATTTAATTTTTTAACTAAGAGTTTTTTCAAAACATGAAAAATTTCCTAAATATAATCATAAGGCTTAAATTCCTTTTTAAACGTTGATATATAGCATATGCTAATTCTTTTGCTATAACTACGTGATTCCAAAGTTAAATGCAGCAGTTAACAACAGGTGAAATTCTTGATATTTTATAGAAAAGTATCAGAAGTGCAAGTAACAAGTTGAGAACTTTTATTAAAAATTTATTAATACGGTGGAAAATTACGTGAATTTTGTTAATATTCTGCAAGATTTATTATAGTAGAAAAACTGGACTCATTCTTGAACAATAGCTGCTGTTTCTTGAATATTTTTTGGAAAAACTTTTGTGCAGGATTTTAAATTTGTTATATGAAAAAGGTAAAAAACTTATTATGTGAATTTAAGATAATTTTTCTTAAAAAGATATGTTATGACATAAATTTTTCTTAAAACGTTAAAAATAAATTGTATACACGTGTATATCAATAATAATATTGTTACTATAGGTATTCCGTAATTAGTGTGTGGAAAACATTGGCTCATTTTACTAATTTAATTAAATTTATTAAATTAATAAAGTTTGGTCTAACCAATGGTTTGTGATGGAGCACTTTTTCCTTTAACAAGTGGAAATACTACTTTTAAATACAATCCAGCTACGTACTACCAAAAATCGTGTAATTCATAGATTATTCTCGTAGAACAAAAATTTGCAAAATGAAAATTTTATTTTTCTATTACTGTAACTATTGAAAACAATAGTCCTTTGATTTTTTTTAAACCTTGCAAGAATAGAAAAAAAAAAAAAACAAATTTTTTTATTATGATAACAAAATAGTAAAATGTCAATATAGATCATTGTTAAAAGACGAGCAAAACTGCTAAGAGAAAAAGTTTATTTTTTGTACTGACTTTTTGTTTAAGGGGTCCTAGTCAGTAGAAAAAATAATTTTGAAATTTTTGTTTTACGTGAATAAGCTGTTTTACATCATTTTATAACTGCATTATTAAAATAAAGTTGGGTCAAACCAATGGTTTGTATTGTAGCACTTTTCCCTTCAACAAGTGAAAATTCTGCTTTTAAATACAGTCTATGTATACCTATCACACTATCAAAATTATTTTCAGTCATATACAAAACTATTTCTAGGATTGCATATATTTAGGATGACGCATATATGCAGTCTTTGAAATAAAGCAAAAATTAATATAAAAAGAGGTTAACATAATGCTCGATTTTAAGGGTTAATTGTGTGAGTTAAGAAAAATAATTATATTTTTTAATTTCATGGAATTTACCGTTAGCTTTTTGCTTTTATAAAAATTTTTAAAAGCTTGCGGTTTCGGAAATATAAGGTGTCAAAAATTCAAATTTTACGAATTTCAAGAGGTGATAACTTGAGAGGGGGTGGAGATGAAAAAAAATTTTCTTCTAACAAAATGAACTATTTGTTAATGTCTAAAAGCTCCTAAAATTTCAAGCTTCTACAGTCTGGGGTCTAAAAGAAAAACGACATCAAAAATTTGGAAAAAAAGGACTTTAGATAACGGTAAATTTGAACGGCCATTTTGTTTTTCTAAATTTTAACTATAGTATACCGCGCAAGTGGAAGCAAGCCGCTGCCTTTCTGCGTTTGCAAAATTTCAAAAATGCTTATGGTTTCATTGCAACAAATATTTAAAAAAGGCCATTTTTAGGGTTTTGGGGGGGTATAACTTCTAGAGGGGGGGAGAAAGGTAAAAATTTTGTTCTACGGAAATAAGTTTCTAGTGAAGATCTATGTACGTATTAAATTTCAGCTTTCTATCTTCAAAGGTGTAGAAGTTTTGTAAACATGTCCACGGACAGACGGTCGGACGGACGGACGGTCGGACGGACGGACGGACGGACGGACAGAGTGAAACTAATAAGCACTTTTTTCAAAAAAATTTTTGGAAAAGTGCTAATTACTTTCATTCATTCATATACCAATATAATTTAAAGAAAGCATATGGTAAGGATGAGCAATGTATGCAATTTTTGAAATAAAACGGAAAAAAATTGAAAGAGGCGTTAACATACTCGTAATGTTCGAATTAAGGGTTAATTGTGTAAGATAAGAAAAATATTTATATTTTTTAATGGCACGACATTTAGCGTTTGAATTTATAGAAATTTGGAAAAATTTACAGTTTCGGAAATATTTAATAAGAATTTCATTTCATTTGAATTATTTATTAGGTCTTTAAAATACATATAATATCGTTATTTTAAATTTAATTTTCATTCAATTTCATAATAAGTCATTATAATAATAATAATATGTATGTATATACTCAATTTTAAAGGATAATCTAAAGCTATGTATTATGTATTGCTAACAATTAAACAAATTTATCCAATGCATAATTTCTTCCATAAATTCCAAATGTCAGAATATTATTAAAATTATCTCTCGATTCTATTTGATAACGTTCGTATGTTGATCTGAAATTAAATTAATATTATTTATTTTTAAACAAGCAAAACATCAAATACATACAAATAATAATTAAAAATTTGTAGTTGTTAAATTCAAATTATATTTGAATTAAACCTATAATATGGCATATCTATGCACATAATAATTATTGAAAAATAAAAGTAACTGCCTTAACGTATGCAAAATTATTTGAGCAAAGAATTATTATTAATTTTCTAGCATATTGTTTGGAGAGAATTATTTGTGTAACGTTTGACATCTTATACTCGTATATGTATTATAATACATTACGCAAATTGTAGAAATCGTGCACCAAGAGAAAACAAAAAAAATAACATAATAAAAACAAGAAACGAAGAAAAATTGTATTCTCAATTCTCATAAAAAACTAAGTATGTTTTGTATATCGTTTTCGTAAAATTGTATCGAATAAAGTGCATACAGGTTTTGTTTAAAAATTGAATAAACCCACTCTACGCAGTAATATCTATTACATAATACTATTTATTTTTAAAATTGTTATAAAGTTATTAGAAATTTTCTGTAAATTAAATGAAACCATCAAGGGAATATTTATAATATATATATATATGTACAGAATATAAGTTATACTTAAAGATGAAAACAGAATTAATTCTATTTACTTTTTTTGTAATTGCTTTTGGTCATGAACTTTTCTGCAAAAAAAGTTTTGCAGAACTTTTCTCAGAAAATACTAATCAGAAAAAAAGAAAACATTCACCCTATGCATTATAGATGCATTATTTGTATGCTAATAGATTATTAATATTCAGTTCGTTTACGACCGGGGCAAAGAATTAACAACTTTTTAACATTTCAAATTGTAAATGCAGGGTGGCCCAGACCAAGGTTTAGAGCTATTGGTAGATGATTCGTTTGGAGCAATTTGGACGTCGTAATAAAAAAATTCTATCCTGCGAACATCTGTCATAACTTCCAAATTTTTGAAGCTACGGCAAAGTTTTTGAAACGATAAATTAGCGTTTTTTTGAAAAATTTTCAGTTTTTCAATTCAACATTTTGTATTATGGCAATCGTAACTTGAAAATGGCAAATCTTGCACATATCATCGGCATTCTGTTATGTAGCTCTATCAACTGAAACCCGTATAATTTTTTGAGTACTCGATTTTTTTTATGATATGGTATAGCAGATTGATTTCAAGCAAATTGATTCAATGCATGTATTCATCCGGAGCTTCAGACTAAACATACTATTCATGAGCACTATACAGGTGCAAGATTTTTATATTTTGTTTTGTAAAATTCAGGTCAAGATCAACTACAATGGCAATGATATATATATTCATATCTTAATTTTGTTTCAAAATTTTTGAACATATTAGAACTTAGTGCGACTAGTGATAAGGGCTTCTAGTAACAAAAATTTTTGCCAACTTCGGTATAATATAATGTTTTGTTGTTATTTGCGTTAGTCATTTTTTGAAATATGAAATAAATTGTAACAAAAAATTTTGTTTTAAGTGGTTTAGTGAAAAGTTGAAATTTAAAATGTAGCAGAAATCATAGTTTTTTTTTATCTTAAGACGCACATTTATGAAAACGGTTCTTTAACTAAATATAAAGTATGGCAGTTTGATTAATTTTTTGGGTTTCGTATGTTGTTGTTAAAGGTTATGATGATATAAGAAAGAAAAATAATACACTTACCCACTTTCACGAATTGATCTTAATTTACCAAAGTTAAATAAATCTGAATCAATTGGTGTCATTGATGTATCTAAAGTATTTGGCATAATTAATATATCATCAGGGTTTGTTAGAACTTTAATATTTGCAGTAATTGTAATTTTATCAAATTCAATAGCGTTAAATAATTTCGTATTGTCCTTAAAATGACGGCCACAAGATTTTGGATTGTTTGTAGTACATGCTACTATAGAACAATATAATTCACCACAGCTTCTGTCATAACTATAAATACGTCTAGTATAATTTGCTGCTAATCTATAGTTATAGGCAATTTTTCCTACAGGGATTTCATGTTCTTTCATACGTATATTAAATGTACAACAAATATCTGTATGTACACAAACTCTCTGAACTTCACCATTTGTAATATTCCATGTTCGTGTATCAAATGTTGACCAATCTTCAGTTGGACGGAAAGTTTGCATTTCAATTGGAGTTTGAACCACCGATGACGTTTTTATAATTTTATTTCCATCTGGTTTATAACTACGTACATTTTTTGGTAATTGACTGATCATTAATCTTTTTTCAATAGTACCAGAAATAAAAGTGTTTCCTACATATTTATTACCAGCTATAATACCTGTGCCAGAAGTACCTGTACGTGGGTTATTGCCTCCAGCTGATAAGAAATTAACATTATTTGCGTATGCCCAACCAAAATGAGTTTGTATAGCTGTAAGAAATGGTAATTCTGAAAACCAGTATGAAGGATACAAAATATTTGTAATTTGATTCTCATTAACAAGACTAAAAAAAGAAGAAAGTAAGAAAAACATAATTTTGTCAGTAGAGTTTTTTTATTCATAAACTGAAATAATTTTTTTTTGTTTTACCTTAGACCAGGTTCTTTAAACATAATATCAAAACATATGAAATGTCCAAATCTAACGTCAAAATCTGTTTCAAAAATAGATACTTCAGCTGTATCTGGCATATCACAAAAGTGTTCATTAAATAAATTATATTTTCTATAACGAGATATTACGCGGCCTTGACGATCGAAGACTGTATTCGTGTTATAGATATTATAGCCATCAGGTTTTTTACGTTTGCATTTTATGTCATTATTAACGGTATCACATGGTTCTTTTTCAATTAAATTAATTAAAACATATAGTTGATTATCACTGACTTCCTTTGAGAGTTTTTGAAGAGTCTATAACTTAATTTTATTAAAATATATTAAAAGACAAACTAAATATTTTTAAAACCTCAGAGTAAGATTTAGGATGCTCCCATGGTGCAATTTTATCTTTAGGATTTGGTAATTCAATTCCATATTTAATCATATCCTCACGGCTTCTAGCATAATTGAAGGTTGCTTCCGGAAAAACTAAGATATCAACATTCTGAAGTAATAATACAATTTTTTAAGAGGGTATTATTAATTAATGCATTTATAAAATCAGATAATCTGTATTGCTTGTCTTAACTTTTGTTAAATATGTAACAATGTATATTATTGTATATTTTAATTTTTAGTTACATAATATATACTTATTTATTTGAAACTCCCTTTACTTACTTGTCCTTTAGCGCTTTTAATAAAGTCAAGATAGGCTTTCAAATTTTCTTGTAAGTACTTTTCCGTAGGTACATTTTTTGATGTATCAGTTAAAATTGAACTAGAGTATTCAACTACTCCCCCAGTATAAAATTCTGATTTGTTTTTCTAAATAACAAAAGAAAAAAATAATTGCATAAACTGAAATATGTTCAATATTTTATATTTCGTATAGTATACATTATAATAGAGCATAATATAGTATATAAGTTAGAATGTATATAAGAAATAAAGTAAATATTTGTTATTTCGTCATTTGTAAAGAAGAAATACATGTTTTGAATGTGTAATTTATAAATTCAAAAAAAACGTTAAATTCATATTGTATGTAGTTCTTTTAAAAAACTATTTCATGGTCTCCCTTACGGAATCCCCTTTATCAAAAAAAAAATTCTGATTAACCCTGAACTTTTTCTTTGTTATGAATTTTTATGACTAATGATTTTGATTATCGTATAAAGTTCTTAAATTAAGTGTTACCATATTAAAATAAAAATCCGTCGCAATTAATTTTTGTTCATTTATGAGTTCAGTCTTATTTAAAAATATAAAATATTAAATTTTGATTTTTTTATAAAATAAAACGAATGCTAAGAATATTTTGTTAAGTATGTTTGATAATATTTGAAAAACATCTACATGTGTATATAGATAAAAATAAATAATCGTTAAAAATCAATATGAAAAACCTGTTTTTACAACGATTATACATGCTTACACATATTATTATGCCCACATTTTTATATAAATTTTCAATATTTTTTTCAGAACGCATTTGAGAAACAAAAAAAATATTAAATAGTATGCATTTAAATCAGTTTGTTTGAAAATTTATTAAATAATCTTTAAAATTCTGTGTTTGATTCGAAAGTTCAAAGTCACGTGACTACCTTAACTATTAAAACCAAGGCTAGATTATAAAGTATATAAGCTCATACATATTGCATACTTTTAGACGGCAGTTTCCACTTTTATTTTCATGAGCTTCATTAATGTGTTTATAGATAAAATATTCCTTCATGTATAGAAATTGTTTTTAATCGGTTTTTTTTGGGCACCTATTCAAGTATGTGCATTGTATTCTGAATGATTATTAATTGAAATTTTTATTTATTGATTAAATTTTATTAATGCATATGTAGTGGCAACTTGTGGTTATCATAGGAAATGATAAAATAAAAAACTTTTTATAGCAAAAACAAAATTCGCGAGTTTTACTGAAAAGATAAATTTGAAATATAAGTACATACATATATATATGTACAAATTTCGTACTTATATACACACATATTTAATACACATTTATTCATTAAAATTAAATAAACAAAAATTTCATTAGACTAAAAGAAATAAAATATTGACATTGAAGACAACATATCTGCAATCTTAATATTTTTTATTTAAATTAATGAAATTTTCTATAATTTAAAGCAGTTATAAATGTGCAAATACATTCTGTATAGAATTTACATATGTATATGAGTATGAGTACGGCAATTTGTGACTAATTTATTTTATGAATTTGAAAAGGTTTTCAAAAAGTATTCAATATTTATGTTGAAAATTTTGAGCGTATATTGTTGCTGAGCTTTTTCATTTTTAGCTGTCTTTCGTTACTAAGTTATTAAAATTTATTAAAAAAACTAAATTATATGTATTTACATATTTTACATTAACTTAATTTAATCAAAATAAAAACTTCAACTCTCTTAATTTAATTTAATTTCAATTAATCATTACATTTGTAAAATTTTATTTCTTAATAAAATTTTACTTAAACACAAAAAAAACATTTTATTACATATTAATTATATTAAAATATTACATATTTTTGACATATTAATTGTATTGCATATATGTAAGTTATTATTGTTAAATAAATTTGATCGTAATCATATTGCATAAAAAAATACTGCAAACTCAGAATACATGGAATGTATGGCTGCACATATGTATACATACATATTTGTTTTATTAATTTTTTCAAAAGGTTTAAACATTATGCTCATGCTATGTTAAAAAAAAATGTGTTTTTAATGTTTAGACTTAATTAAACTCATATTTTTCAAAGATGTAATAATATGATTTTTATAAACTTTTTTAAAGGAAGAGCAAAATTTCCCGAAAAACATTATGAAATTTATAAAATCTATACAACATAATCAATAGTATCACTGAAACTTCAAATGACATATATCCAGTTTGCCTGTAATTTAATATTTTATATTGCCAAGATAATAATTTTTTGGACTTTATAGAATTTTTCATGATTCCGCGGAATAAATCAAGTTGCATAATATTCAAATTTAATTTTTCATGGTTATCTCCAATCAAAACAAAATATACATATAAAAAATTAATTATTCAATATATTTTTTACACGATTATATACACATACTTATGTATATATAACACAATATAATATGAAAAGTGTGTAATAAAAATAAAATAAAATCCCGCCAAAAAAATTTTATAATTGCGATAAAATCTATTCAAAAAAAAATTTGTGTTTGTAAACTTTACAATAAATTATTTATTAATTTAAATATATTGTGAAATAGATTTTATGCAACATAATGTTTCCAAGTTTACCTCAGCAGCAACAAACAACGTTGTTATTGATAATAATAGAAACAAATTTAACATTATTTAAATTTTTCCTTATGATTATGAATAATTTTATTTTCATTAAGATAGATAAACAATATTATTAATGTAATTAGATTTAAACAATAATATACATAGTTATAAATTTTCACTTTTTGTTTAATAAAGAAAAGAAGAGTGCAAAGAAATAAAAGTAAAAAAAAAAACAACTACTCTTTTTAAAAATAAAACATAGTCACACGATTGAAAGCTCTTTTGACACTGTTTGAGTTGACTGATTCTAAATATTACAATATACATACGTGTCAGCGTTACCATATTGATTTTACAAAAAATCTGAAAGAAAAAAAAATTGACTTAAAGTTTGAAAAAATCAGACTTTTATATTCAATTTAAGCACATTTTTATTTTCATATATTTTATTGTGTATTTAAAAAAATAAATCATTTCAGTTTTAATAACGCTTAATATAGCTTATGCTTTCTACATTACTATTACAGTGAAAATTTTCAAAAATGCCTAACATAGTGTTTTCGAAAAATTATTTACTTAACTTTTTATACATTTTTGAATTGAATTTATTTAACATATTTTTTTTAATTATGAAATTATAGCAGGTATATTGATTTTTTGTTTGAAATCATACTTTTATGTATCAGTTGACAGTTTTTTCTATTTTTGGTTGTTATTTATGACAGAAAAGTTCGATTTATGCTTGCTGACTACACTGGAAACGAAAGACTATTTTAATAAAAGATAAGCATACCAGGTATAGTCGAATACCAGGTATGCTTATCTTTTATTAAAATACCATTTTGATACCAGGTGAGTCGAAAAACCTGGTAAACTACAAAAAATCTAGTATTTTGGGTAAGAAGTGTGGTCATATGGCAGACCTTCCAAAAATCTGAAAAATCAGAAAAATCTGGCAATATGGAGAGTCTACATCTACCGCATTATTTCTGTTATTGGAATTTTTGTTTACGCTTTACTTATTCGTTCGTATTTTTTTTTCTTTTTTACTTATTTCAATTCTTTTTGAGCAATGTTTGGCTTCAATTTAGTTTCTGATAACATATTTAATAAGAAATTTTTCAAATGATCACAAAGTTTTTAAAAATGATAAAATTTTCTATTTTTTCTATTGTGTGAACTCTTATTTTTGATGATTTATTTTACTTCTCTTTATGATTTATTTTTCTCAGTATTTACGTTCAAAAAACTGTCTATTCCAAAGGCTATTTATTTTTTTTTTTACCAACCACTAAAGGAGGTAATGTGGATAGCGGAATAGTGTCACTTTCGGAATATAAGTCAGGTCTGAGCAATTAATAGTTGATTGTATTATTTAAATGTTATCTAAATAATTAGATAAAATTTAAATAATACAATTAGATTAGATGTAACGAAACCGCAAGCTTTCTAGAACTAAAATTAAAGAACAGTTTTTTGGAGGGCATTTGAGTTTCGGGAGTGAAATTTCATTATTGGCCTACTTAACGCTTCGTACCAAATTTATGGATATACTTATTTAAAAACGTTTTTCAATTTAATATAATAGGGGCTCAGAAGCAGAGTTTCGGGCAAAGGTTTAAAGCTTATATTTTACTATTACTTGTTTTTTTTCGAATTAACAGACTTTTCAAAAAAATTTTATTGCAAACAATTTCGTAAGCATGGTGATAAAATTGGCTCAATGGTTTGACTGTTTATAAAAACATGCCACGCACGGAGATGTTTTATACATAGATGAGAAGAAGATGACAGGAAGATGTTGAATTTTAATGATAATATTTTGAGTCTTAAAAAGCATTTTCTCTAATATTTTCATTAAATTAAATAAAGTTGGGTCAAACCAATTGTTTGTATTGTAGCACTTTTCCCTTCAACAATTAGTGAAAATACTGCTTTTAAATACAGTCTATGTACCTATCACACTATTAAAATTATTTTCATTCATATACAAAACTATTTCTAGGATTGCACATATTTAGGATGAATGATTTATGCAGTCTTTTTGTTTTATTTATGCAAGCAAAAATGAATTTAAAGAGGGCTTAAAATAATGCTCGATTTTAAGGGTTAATTGCGTGAGTTAAGAAAAATAATTATATGCTTTATGCTTTTATAGAAATTTGAAAAAGCTTGCGGTTTCGGAAATATAAAGTATCAAAAATTCAAATTTTATAAATTTCAAGAGTCGATAAGTTGAGAGGGGGTGGAGATGGAAAAAAATTTTCTTCCAACGAAATAAACTATTTATTAGTATCTAAAAGCTGCTAAAATTTCAGACTCCTACAACCTGGGGTCTAGAAGAAAAACGACATCAAAAATTTGATGAATTTGATGGAAAAAATGGATTGTAGATAATAGTAAATTTGAACGGCCACTTTGGTTTTTTAAAGTTTAACCGTAGTGTGCCACGGTAGGAGAAGCAAGCCACTGCCTTTCTGCGTTTCCAAAATTTGAAAAATGCTTATGGTTTCATTGCCACAAATAGTTAAAAAAGGCCATTTTTAGGATTTTGGGGGGGTATAATTTTTAGAAGGGGAGAGATATGTAAAAATTTTAGTATTATATTTCAGCTTTCTATCTTCAAGGGTGTAGAAGTTTTGTAAACAAAAAAAGTGTCCACGGACGGACGGACGGTAGGACAGAGTGAAACTAATAAGCACTTTTTTCAAAAATTTTTTGGAAAAGTGCTAAAAATAGTATTAAAAACATGTTATAAATCGAAAATCGAATACATAAATAGTTTAAGTATTGTATATAAATATTTGAAGACAATTAAAGGTGTTTTAAAAGATTTTTTCAACTTCTGGCTTTTAAAATTTTAATTTTGTGGTTGCCGATTTTAATAGCTTTAGAAATATTGAAGTCTACAAAAATCGAGTTTTTCTTCTATCAAAGTTTTGATGAACAAATTACGATTATTACAATCTATGCTCTAGATGAGCCGTATTCAGAATTTTGACTTTAATTGTTTTAGACTCTTTTTCGATTAATAATTTTGCAAAACTTGTTTTCTCTTCAGAGGATTCGAAATGGCTCAAATGGTTTATCCAAGAAAGGCTAATTTACCAGTTCTTGGACTAGGCAGAAGTATTGCAACGCCATCTCAAGGAATTATCGCAGATGTTATTGCTGTTGAAAGTTTCGAAGAATTAAGAAGTTTGCCAGATGATGAGGTTATGAAAGTTTTTATTAATGAAATGTTTATAGTTTTTTATTATAATGATATATATTTGTTAAGCTATTTTATTTATTATTTAAGGTTAAAGGAAAAATCGTCGTGTATGCTCAAAAATGGAAAAGTTATGGAGAAACTGTGCAATATAGATCAAGAGGTGCAATAGAGGCATCTAAAAAAGGTGCAGTTGCTGCATTAGTAAAAACAATAGCACCGTTTTCAATTGGTTCCCCACATACTGGTTCACAAAATTACCAAAGTGGAGTGAAACCAATTCCGGTTGGTTGTATTACTATTGAGGATGCCAATATGATATTAAGATTATCTCGCATTAGTAAAATACAGATACATTTAGTAATGCATGATAAAAATTTACCAGATGCAATATCTAGAAATTTAATTGGTGAATTTGTTGGAAAGAATAATTTATCTAATAAGTCTGTTGTGGTTTTATCTGGCCATATTGATAGTTGGGATGTTGGTGTTGGCGCAATGGATGATGGTGGTGGTGCATTTATATCATGGAAATCATTAGAATATTTAAAAAAACTTGGACTTAGGCCAAAACGTACTTTAAGAGCAATTTTATGGACTGGCGAAGAATTCGGTTATTTAGGTGCAAGTCAATATCATAAAGACCATAAAGAGACAGAAGAAGAAGAATTTAATTTTATGATGGAATCAGATAGTGGTACATTTACGCCATTAGGATTAGGTTTTAGTGGTAATAATGAAGCAAAATGCATTCTAAAAGAGATTCTAAAGTAAACAAAACAAGAATATTATTTCAATTGCAAAAAAAAGTAATTTGTATATATTTTAGGTTAATGAAGAATTTAAATGCAACACGCCTTTATAATGGTGCTGATACACCAGATTTAGGTTTTTGGTTGAATCGAGGATTTCCGGGAGCTTCACTAAAAAATGCAAATGAAAAATATTTTTGGTATTTTAGGAAAATCATAATATTTTTGCATTTTTTTTTTAATATGATTTCTAATAATATTTTCCATCATAGGTTCCATCATAGTGCTGGAGATACCATGGAAGTTTTAAATTCAGATGATCTTGATAAAGCAACAGCGTTATTTTCTGCTACTGCTTTTGTAATTGCCGATTTAAGCATTGATATTCCTCGAACTTTAGTTTAGAGTTGTGGGATAAAAAAAAAATAATTTTTAAAATGATTCCGTTCGAGCAATTTTATTTTGTCTCAAAAATAAAATAAAATGAATTAGATAAAGCATTTTAGCGTTTTTAATAATCAATTTGACAACAGTGACAAACAAATATTTTGTGTTTTATTTCGAGTTTTTTTATTTTCCTATTTCAGCATGGGAAACTAATGCCAAAACTTTCTTTTGAAAATATTTATCAACAATCTCTTATCGATTACAATGTTGTAAAACAATTTTGAAATATTTTGTTTAATTTGAGCAAAAGTGGCTCAAAATTGCGGAATTCGAGTAGATCATTTAAAATGTAGTATAAATAATATGCTGAATGAATGTTCCGGTGCTTCTAAACTTATTGATTATTTAATTTTCTTAGGATATTATAGTTTCTTAGGATAGGTAGTTTTTTTGTGATGGACAACCAAATATCAAAATTCGTATAGAAAATGCAAAAAAAAGGGTAGAAAAAAATTCCTAACCAAAAAAATAATAAATCTAATGAATGGCTATTTTAAAAAATAAAAATATTTTACCCTTTTCAAAAGTATTTTATTTTTTAACGACCGTATTGTGTAAACAATAGGTAGGTTATGTGATGGCAACAAATTTTGCATATCGAGTTTTCAGTGGGAATGCACTTCTCCATAGTAGGGAAGTGTAAGTAAACTATTTTTAGCAACCTGTCGGTCTGTGGGTCTGTCGGTCTGTCGGTCTGTCGGTCTGTCGGTCTGTCGGTCTGTCGGTCTGTCGGTCTGTCGGTCTGTCGGTCTGTCGGTCTGTCGGTCTGTCGGTCTGTCGGTCTGTCGGTCTGTCGGTCTGTCGGTCTGTGTGTGCACGAGTGTATCTCAAGTTCTGCTGAACCGATTTTGATGAAATTTTATATGTAAGTTTATTTCCACCATGGCACGGATTGATCATGGCACTTTTGGGATATATCAAGCCTCGGGGACTGCACTTTTTAGCGGGCCTGTTTTTCATTTTTGAACATTTTGAAGAAAATATTCAACCGATTTACCTGAAATTTCATATATAAGCTTTTCTCGACCGTCCGCAAAAATTCCTAACTTTTGGAAGAAATCAGGCATCAGCAACTGGACGTTTACTACGGGCCAAATATACATTTTTGCGTATATAAAGGAAAATAATTGACCGATTTCATTGAAATTTTATATTGGAATTCCTCGTATTAAAACAATGAACATATAAATTTTTTGGAAAAATCAGGGCTCGAAAACTGATCTGCGGGCCGATTTTACATTTTTCACCATATCTACGGAACGAATTGATGGAATTTCTTGAAATTTGATATTTCAGTTCTGGTTGTTACCGAAACTAACTGGCAAGCATTTTAGGGAATTCGGGTAGCACAAAGCGAAATTCTACTAAGAGCCAAATTTACATTTTTCTAGGTATGTTAATTATAAGCTTACTAGTGTCCTAAAAATTGGAAAGATGTATTTAAAAGACTTTTTTATAATATTCTGTAACCCTTTCACTTAACTAGACAATATACAATGCGGTCGGTTATGTGCTGACCACATCAGATTTTTTTTTTAAAAGGATTCATTCACCAGTTAGGGCAATAACATTTCATAATTTTTAATTTAATTTAAAATATCTAGACCTTGAAAACAGCAGACGAGATATACATACATAAGTGCTTTAAAGACTATGATATTAATAAAATGCAATATTTTCTGTGTTTGATTTTTTGTTTTAATTTATTAAAGAATTTATTTTGAAAAATTGAGAAATTTTAAATTGTACATGAAGAAGACACCACGAAGGAAATTACCTTTTTGTTTCAAGTAATTTATTTTTTTCATTCAATTTTTACCGATTAAAACTTTTAATCCAAATAAAATCAAAATAAATTACATATGATAAAGTATTATAAGACGGCAAGAACTTAAAAGTTCACATTGTCTTGATTTTCATGTCGCTAGATTTTCAAGTACAACTTTAATTTTTAGCTGTTTTCAAAAAAATTTTGTAGCTCTTAGACATTCATGAATATTTTGCTTTGTCAGAAGGAAATTTTTTTCAACCCCCTCTAAAGTAATCGTCTCTTGAAATTCGTAAAATTTGAATTTTTGACACCTTATATTTTCGAAACTGCTGTTCAAAATTTCTATAAATGAAAATTACCTTATTTGTATAAATTATAAATAAAGTAAGGGTGAATGCAATGCCAAGTATAATTATTTTCGTTAACTCACGCAATTAGTCCTTTCTTGCATCATATTAATGCTTCTTTAATTTTTTTTGTTTGATTTCAAAGATTAAGTTCATTGCTCATCCCAAATATATGCAATCTTTGGAATATATGCGTATATGAATGATATTAATTTTAATAAAATGCGAGTAAATAAAAAAAAAGAAATTATTGTAATTAATAATCATTTTAATGAACTAACAATCCTCTAATACATTACAGAATACAACTAGCTACAAGAAAACAATAAGTTTTTAAGTTAGTTATACCAATTTTTTTTTTTATGTAAATAAATTTTTGTTTTTTAAACTTTTTTGTTATATAGTTAATAAGAAGAAAATGGATTAAATAAAGTTTACAAACAAAAAAAAAAAAAAAAATAAAATGCGAGTAATATACAGATTGTTTTTATAGCAGTATTTTCACTTGTTGAAGGGAAAAGTGCTACATTACAAACCATTGGTTTCAACTTTGTCAAATAAAAGACAAGAAAGAGTATAAGAAAGATGGTATCATATCAAATATCAGAGAGTCCTATAAAGATGTAAATTTCAACATCTAAGAAAGATCATGGACGATGTAAAATTCAGGGTTTAGATTAATTCTATATTGTAACAATACGTTTTATAACTCCGATTCAGATCAGGCATAACTTAATGAAAATAGTTGGCACACATAAATCGTTGAATTGAACTTATAAACCACATTTCTTTACTATAGAACTTAGAAAATTTGAACCTTGGAAAGTAGTTTTTGAAATTATTAAGTCGTAAACAAAATTTGGTTCGTTATAAAAAAAATTTTAGATTTTTAAATTTTTCAAACACTGTATATATATTTAAACATAGAATTCTAGTTGTTAATCCAGTCCAGTTATAAATCTAGTTATTAAATTAAACTTCTTTAACTATCCCCGAATCAGCTGACAATTTATTATTTTGGCTTTTCTTATTTGAAAATTATTGGAAACTTTTTTGGTGAAATAAATATTTTATGTTTAGAATTTGAATATTTGTGAAAAATTCTTTGAGCTACTCCAAAAATTTTATTTCTTTGTTTTTAATAATTGTTAACAATTATTATTGAGTTTGTAAGAGATTTTACAATGCGTGTCGTGATAGTATATTGATATTTCGACCATTCATTACCATTGGTTGTTAAGTGTTTTGTTAGAAATTCTATCACTTTTTTGAACCACTTGATAACTATAATTGAAACCATAATAAGAAAGAATCTAAAATGATTTACTTATTTCTGAGTTCTTGTGCGAAAGTATTTTCTTTCGTATGTTATAAATATAGCAAAAATAAATAAATGTAAAAATTTTTATTTTAACAAAATCTAAATTTTTGTTTTAACTGTTGTAATTTACTGGGATGAATGGCTTGAAATTGCACATAAAAACTGTGAATTGGGACATCATAATATAATAAAAATCGCATATTAAAAAATTATGTTTCAGTTTATATATTGTATTATACATACTAGTTATACGTTATATTTACATTTAACATCAATTGCTACATGTAGATAGGTATATCATTTAAACTACATTTCTATGAAATTCTTTTAAAAAAGGATAATTTCATAAGGATTATGTAATATTTGAATGTTCATTTAAACTCAAATGTTAACTTTGCTTCTACATAACTTAAGAGTTTTCGTTTTAAGGGCATGTAAAACTCCATTCATATTATATTCCCAAATATGTACACTAAATTTTTCAAATATGTACAGTAGATTTTTCAAAAATTGAGACACGTTTTTAGCACTTTTCCAAAAATTTTTTGAAAAAAAGTGCTTATTAGTTTCACTCTGTCCGGCCGTCCGTGGACATGTTTACAAAACTTCTACACCCTTGAAGATAATAATTCTATCTGAAATTTTATATGTGCATAGATCTTTACTAGAAATTTATTTCTGTAGAATAAAATTTTTACCTTACACCCAAAATCCTAAAAATGCCATTTTTTAACTATTTATTGCAGTGAAACCATAAACATTTTCCAATTTTGCAAAAGCAGAAAGGCAGTGGCTTGCTTCTCGCGGTATACTATAATTAAACTTTAGAAAAACAAAATGTTCAAATTTACCGTTACCTAAAGTTCGTTTTTTCAAAATTTTTGATGTCGTTTTTCTTCTAGACCCCAGGTTGTGGGAGCCTGAAATTTTTGTAGCTTTTAGGCACTAACAAATAGTTCATTTCGTTAGAAGAAAATTTTTTTCTATCTCCACTCCCTCTCAAATTATCGACTCTTGAAATTTGTAAAATTTGAATTTTTGATACTTTATATTTCCGAAACCGCAAGCTTTTTCAAATTTCTATAAACGCAAAAAGATAACGGTAAATTCCATGCCATTAAAAAATATAATTATTTTTCATTAAAATTGAGCATTATGTCAACACCTCTTTATATTAATTTTTGCTTTATTTCAAAGACTACATAAATTGTTCATCCGAAATATATGCAATTTTAGAAATACTTTCATATATGAATGAAAATATTTTTAATAGTGTGGTAGTACTGTTAAAAGCAGTATTTTTACTTGTTGAAGAGAAAAGTGCTACAATTCAAATCATTGGTTTGACCCAACTTTATTAAATTTTCAATTTAGTTGTTACCATTGTGCATAAGTGTTTTTGTTTGTAAGTAAGTGATTTATAATTGCACAAAAAAAAAAATCGTTCACTTCAAATTTTTTAGTTTTTGATTATAAGAAAATATTTTTAAATTAAAGAAAAATATAATATGTAACAGGAAAATAAAATTAAAAGAAGAACAGAGTAGTAAAAGAATAATATCTGAGACTTATTTGATAACCACTGTAATAAAAATATGTATGTACGTATGCTCAATATTTAAAAAATGATTTAAAACAGAAGAAA